GGTGTATGTGGACGATATGATTGTCAAGTCCAAAGATCGAGAGGTCCACTACACCGCCTTGAAGACATTCTTTCAGTGGATCAGAGAGTATAGGTTCAGGTTGAGCCAGTAAAAATGCACTTATGGCGTAACAACAAGGAAAATGTTGGGATTCTTAATCACATAGAGAGGAATTGAGGTAGATCCTTCCAAAATCAAGGCCATTTTGGAAATGTCACCACTAAGGACTGAAAAGAAGGTGTGCGACTTTCTATGTAAAGTACAATTCATAAGACAATTTATTTCAAAACTAACCTTAACTTGTAAACCACTATTTCATCTCCTAAAGAAAGGAAAAAAGTTCCAATGGGACGATCGCTATCAGTTCACTTTTGAACAGATCAGGCTGTACCTATAGAATCTGCCTGTGTTATCACTGCCAGAACCGGGAAAACCACTGATTTTGTACCTATAGTGACCAACTCAACTATGGGGTGTATGTTAGCTCAGGAGTCGGAGGCCAAGGTGGAGAAAGCCGTTTACTATTTGAGCAAGAAAATGCTAGATTACGAGACCCGTTACACTCCCCTTGAGAAATCTTGTCTAGCCTTGGTATGGGCTACTCGGAAGTTGAGGCACTACCTGCTAGCTCACTCCGTAATCCAAGTTTCAAGATTAGATCCTACCAAATATCTCTTTGAGAAATCAACGCTTACGGGTAGGCTAGCTTGTTGGTTGCTTCTTCCCTTCGAATTTGATCTTACATATGTTACACGCAAGTCTGTTAAAGGAGAGCTGTAGCAGAATTCCTGGCAGATCACCAAGTAAAGGGAGATGAAGTGGTGGAGTACTTGTTCCTAGATGAGGATATTCTACAAATAGACGAGAAAACGTGGGCTTTGCACTTTGATGGAGCCGTCAATCAGTACGATTATGGGATTGGTGTATTACTGATAGCACCTGATGACTCCCATAAACCCTTAGCCTTCAAACTCCAGTTTAAAGTATCTAACAACGAAGCAGAATATGAGGCGTGTATCACTGGTTTAAAAGCCGCCCTAGAACCAGGGGCAAAAAGGTTGGACATCATTGGGGATTCAAATTTGGTTATGTCTCAAGCCAATGGAGATTGGTGGGTTAAGGAAGAGAAAATGAAGGTTTACCATCATGTCTTGGATATGTTAATTGTGAGGTTTGAAAAGTTAACGTTTACCCATCTGCTAAAAGAGAACAACTGATTTGCTGACGCACTAGCAACTCTATCTTCTATGGTAGACATTCCATTGAGAGTCAGGATGCGTCCGATCATTATTGAGCAGAAGTACACGCCGGCCTATGAAACCATCGCCACAATAGACGAGGCTTTAGACAAGAACCCCTAGTACTATGATATCTGGAATTTCCTAGAAAAGGAGGCTTATCCACTAGGAGCAAATGCCAAGGACAAAAGGGAAATACGACGTCTGGCCATTCAATTCATCATTTGGGACGCAAGTTGTACAAAAGATGCCATTTGGGAATGCACAAGTTATGTGTTGAAGAAGAGGAATCAAAGTGCCTTATGGAGGCCATCCACGGAGGAGAGTGCAGAGCCTGCATGAATAGTGTAATGCTTGCCCGAAAAATCCTTAGACAGGGCTACTACTGGTCAACCATGGAAGAAGATTGTATTGGTTTTGTTTGGCGATGTCACAAGTGCCAGATTCATGCCAATCGCATGAACATTCAGCCATCAAAGCTCTATAACATGACTTCACTATGGCCATTCTCTGTTTGGAGAATAGATGTTATCGGTGTAGTTACGCCAAAAGGGTCAAATTAGCATGAGTTTATTTTGGTAGCAATCGATTACTTCACAAAATGGGTGGAGGCCTTGTCCTACCCTATGCTAAAGGCATCGCATGTGGCTAAGTTCATCAAAAACAACATCATATGCCGGTATGGGGTGCCCAATGAGATTATCTCTGATAATGGGTCGTACTTCAAGAAAGAGGTGACAGATTTGCTTGAGAAATATAATGTAGCTTTCCATAAGTCATCGACCTACAGACCACAGACTAATGGGGCCATCGAAGCTACAAACAAAAATATCAAGAGAATTTTGCAGAAGATGGTGGAAACCTATAGGGACTGGCCAGATAAATTACCGTTTGCGCTCTAGGGCAACAGAACCTCAATCCGAACATCTATAGGGGCAACCCCCATATTCTCTTGTCTACAAGATGGAGGCTATTTTACTGATTGAAATTGAAGTGCCCTCACTATGAATTATGGCTACGTGTCAAATAACAGAGGCAGATTGGTAGCAAAGTGGGTTCGAGGAGTTCATGTTGTTTGATGAGAGAAGACTAAGAGTATTGTATCATGTCCAAGGTTACCAATGCTGAATTGTTAGGGCTTTTAACAAGAAAGTTAATTTCATAAATCTTCAAGAAGGGGACATGGTGCTGAAAGACAACCAAGCTCCCATTCATGATCCTAGGGGCAAGTTCAAACCCAACTGGACTGGTCCTTACATCATTAAGTCAATCTGGTCAGGAGCAGCGATTATTTTTATGGACTTGGATGGCCTGGAGTTCTCACAACTGATCAACATGGACAAGCTGAAGAAATATTACCCCTGAGAGGCTCACTAGGCCGAAAACCTAAAAGGGCGGCCTAGGCAAAAGTTAGAGTATGAAAAATTAGAAAGAAAGAAAAATTGAGCTCGCAAGGTTGAAAACCCTAAAGGGCGACTTTGGCAAAAGTTAGAGTGCAAAAAAAGAGAGTTAATACTCGAGTGAACTTGAACCGAACTACGTAAGTCCCATTTTTTTTTTGGGATACGTAGGCAACTTCATCCTAAAGTTCGGCCGTAACTATCTCTAATTCAACTGTTCTATCCGTTTTCTTGTCCAGGTCATCCTTGTTCACTATCTATTAGTTCGGTTATCCTCTTTATTTCGCGAAGAAAAGCTGATTACAGTGCAGAACAGCAGTGATACGCAATCAGGGGTAGTTATGATTTCTTTTGATTCGGTACTGTACATCTTGAGAATCGATTCTGTGCATGCTAGGTGTGGTGATCATTTTCGAAAATTGTTTTGAAAAGTTTTAATAAAAGTTGATTTTGTTCAAAATTTTACCTTTTTACAACTTGGACCATTTTTGGGACCGAAAGGAAAATTTTTAGTACTCGCAACTTTAATTTATTGATTTCAACACAAGTACATTCTCCCTCTTTGATTTAAATCAAAGTTGCTTTTATATCTTAAACTTGAAAAGAAAGATCAAAGCAATAAAACTAGGGACACAGCTAAGTCAGGTGGCTTTATGCCAAAGGCGCCCCAACCTCTGCCTCCTCTTTAAGCCAAGTCAAACACTCCTCAGACAGGGTGTAACTAAAACTAATGGCAGGGGCCAGAATCCCTCTCATCCTCCAGGCCGCGAGACACCAACGCAGATTGGAAATGAAGCTGTGTATTCCACTCCCTTGTCTGGTCATATCTGATCATGCTCAAATTGGCGTCGGAACAAGAGACAAAAATAGAATATGCAATGTGTGGGGCCAATCAACTCTACACCCCATTGTCGGGACATGCTGTAGCTCATCTCTGCCAAATTAAGCCAAGGGAAACACCACGTTATGTCAGCTGCGGATCGGCTAGACATCCAATCACACCACAACCTTTCTGAGGGGAAGTCCACTAGCTGTTGACGAAAGAAGTAAGCTTTGGCCGAGTACTTGGGGCAAGGATCCACTACTTGCAGTTTATCCATGAGCCATACCTGGGGAGGGATGAAAAATAAGAGAGATTAAAGAATAAAGAGGTGTACGATGAAAGAAAAGTAAGGAAAGGGGTTATGAGAGAAAAATAGAGAATGAGTGTTGAGTGATGTAAGAATCATAAATTAGAAGGGTGGAAAATAATACCTGGAGAAGTAGCTGACTCCCTGCTAGCCGGGTGGTCTCTCCTCGGCGTAAAGCATCTAAACCCATTAAGGTTTCGACCAGTGCCAAACCTATGCAACTCTTACCCTCTTTTAGATGTTGAGCTAATTCGACCAACTGGATGTTAGCTCTGCCGAAACTAGGGGCAAGGAGGAACTGTGCAAGAAGGCATAAACAGACAGCATGTCACCGGCGGCCTTGCCAAAGAAGGTCACTTCTGTCTCCAATGGTAGAAAATCAATGAACTAAACCGAGGATGTCTAGCCTCCCATCATGTGCGAAAGACTGAGCCTCGAGTAATGGCAACCCACACATCTGTCCCAAAGCTTGGGCATGGCCAAAACGGGGTTGCAGTATGATTTCTTCGTCGCGTCGGGACTCCATCGAGGCTTGAAATTCCTCGACTGTCGGACACACCTCTTGTGCTCCGAATTGAAACATGTGTGATCAGATTCTAACATCGAACAACGACATGAAGGAATGGAAAACAAAGAGAAGTGCAACTCAGAGAAAAAAGGGCATTTAGGCCAAAATCGTGAAAATTCACTTTTTTCGAGCCGTCCAAAGTGGCTATCCAGTCTCGGAGCCTATTGTTGCACAATGTCTCCATTTTGAGAGCAAAATATCAAAGACTTGCTATTCTACCAGAAAAATAGCATGATAGCATTATTTATAGAGGATGAGAAGGAGCAGTGCATAACAGCTGGGCAGCACTGACTGACGTCACATTGAGGCCCGGTTGTGCCTCAGTGAAGCCTAGCCTTGCATATTTAGGCCCAGCTGGGTCTAAATGACGTTTCAGAATCAGTGCGGCTGCAGGAAATGCTAACTTTTTCCTTAACATACCATAGTTGTACTTTGAGTCTTGTTTTGTTTGTACCAAGTATTTTTTGGTATTTTCTGAGTTGTTTTTATTTTGTTTTCTTGTTTTCTTGTTATTTTATTTTGGTAACTTCACATTTTGTTCGGTTGTGGGTAGTTATCCGATTCAAGAATGAATGCAAGAGCAAGTCTTATGTGAAGTTATCATGCAAGGGTTACACCATTCATCACATGCAAATACAATTCATCACATTATGCAAGGAAGTCATTCAACAAAAAATTGTCTTCTATAACTGGTAGGTTCAACCCCGATCATCGTTTTACAAAGCAATAAAACAAAAAAAAAAAATCTTTCAAACAAAACAAAAGGGTCTATCTGAAGCTGGTCTTTAACTATGAAGCAAAAACAACAAAAACAAAAACTAAAACAAAGTCGTCGCCCTCGTCAATAGCCCATCCTCGCCCTCTTCCTCCTCGGCTGCGGAGGAGGTGCATCACTATCGTCGCTGGGGCTGCTGGATTGCAAGTCAACCTCCTCTCCCTTGTCCTCGAGGGTCGTAGACCCTTCAAAAGACTCCTCGGAAGATGAGCGCTGCCTCGCTCAGCCTCTCCCTCGATTGGCTCCCCCTCAGCCCCTTATTGGGCCCCGTCTCTATCTGCTGGCTAAAGGAGGTCCTGCAGGCACTGCTAGTGCCGGCTCAAACTGAAAAGAGGATAGGTATTAGTATGAACTAACATGAGTAAATAGTATGGCTACAATAGTGAACTATAGATAGAATGTACCTCAATCCCATGTATGACTAAGGCGGTCTGCCTCCTCCATACCATGAGGAGTAGTCGGTTGATCGTACGAAGGAGGTCATCAGCATACGCCCGGGGTATCTGCAAAAGGAACAGAATTTGAGAAAGGTGGACAAAAGTGATAGAGAACAATGAACATAAATAGTAGAAAACAAAACAAGACAAAGTACAGTAAGTAGAAGCATAAAGGAATGTATCACTACTCGATGCCATGGGTGAACGCTAGCTTACGATTCCTCTCATCGATATGCTCAAACAGAATCTGCTCGATCACTCCATTTGGATGCATGTACATGATCTCAGTGGGAATCACGGGAAACCCAGGAATGAGAGCAATGGCAGGGGCACCTCCAGCAAACACATCACCAACCACAGCAGCAGCAGTAGTAGTAACCTTCGACACAGCGCGAACCACTCCCAGGGTAAAAGGCGCCATACCTGAATGTGTAGGAAGGTGATGAAGTCGCCGGGCTCATGATGATGATCACCATCCTCTCCTAACATCAGGAGGTCAAGCTAAGGACCGTCCGGCAGCTCATCAACTACCCTCATGACTAGAGGAGGATGTGGAATGTTAGGATCAGCGACGCCCCGCGTCTGGCGGATGAGCCTCTCTCATAGATAGTAAGCCTGACCAAAGAGGCCCTTGAATAGAATCCGCACGGTAGAGGCATGCCATGCCGCGACATAGGACGTCCTCGACACTTGAGGAATGCCCGCCCAGGGATGCCAGTCAACCTATTGAATTAGTGCATATGTCGGAAATCAATGCAAATGTTAGAAATTGGTGCAATGTGTTAAATCAGTGTAGTGTGAGAAATCAGTGCAGTGTGAGAAATCGGTGTAGTGTGTTAAATCAGTGTAGTGTCAGAAATCATTACGGTGTGAGAAATCGGTGTAGTGTGAGAAATCAACGCAGTGTAAGAAATCAGTGTGGTGTAGAAGCAACAGTATGAGAATGACCGTATAGTGTGGGAAACAGTGCAGTTTTCTTACAGTATATAACAGTTAAAGGTTGGTATTTTGTTACCTAGTATGTAGTGATCGTGTCGAAGAAGCAGTGGAAGTAAGGGAAGTCTCGGTCTACACGGCAGTGGCGCTCAAATCGGGAGTTATAGTACCGTGAGCGGGGTACTGACAACTCTATCGGCCTCACCAGGACTGGAGGCAGAGAAGTGAAGTATGTGTAAACCCAGAGCTGCAAACAGAAAAAGATGGATGAAGTAGATAAGTAGAAAATGGAATACAAATGAACAGAAAATGCAAAATGATCACAATGCACAAAAAAGATAAGTGCGAGGCGTACCTCCCAAACCCTCTAGTAGCCGCCTAGTGAATATGCCTTACGGCGGGAGACGGAGCTCATGTAACAGTATAAGGTGACCAGGCCGATGCCACCTCAGCCGTACTTTGCCACCTGGGGGAGGTGGACTAGTGCCCCCAGAAGATATAACCCTATGGAATTTTTCCTGTTCACAAAGAGGGTAGTACTGAGGAGATACATGAGGAAGCCACAGGTGTACTGGGCGACCTCATCTAGAGTGGTGGACTAAAAGTTGGAGAAGTACTCGAAGAACTAACTATACCTCACCATCCTGTGGCTGGTGGTGTCTGGGATCGCTCTAAGAAGTTGACGTTGTATAGCTCTCCACTATTTCATGTCAAGATCGTATGGGATCGGATTGCCAACTCTAACCCATAGGCCGGTGAGAATTGCAAAGTCGTACGAGATTAGAGTCATCTCCCCGATTGATGAGAAATGGAATGAATCTGTGGTGTCCCACCATCTCTTGACCAAGGCCCCATAGAACAATGACTCGACCCTCATCTATATAAGCCCTGAGCAGAAGGGCCCAAAGCCAGTTGCGTCAACTAGTGCATGGACCTCCGTGGGCAGTCTCTCATACCAGCGTCAAGGCCTGGATATGGATCCGTATCTACCAATCCTCCTGGCAATCACCTGCAAATAGGAAAGATATGGCATTTAACTAGTGGTCCGCTTGTGAGATTCAACAATGCATCAACACAAAGGGAAGTTGCTTACTGTTGAGGAATTGGCGGATAAGTGCTCTGTGGGCTCTTGCAGTAAGATATCCTTGTCTATCCCGGGGATGAGGTCCTCGAATCTCAAAATGCCACATGGGGGTGGAACATGTGTGCGTGGTTGGTATGTGGTCGTGTCAAATGGCCTATCAACGAGGGGAGGCAATGTGGGGGCTTCCTTGGCTTCCATGTCAGCGCCTAGGGCAACCGCAATACCAATGACGGGGTCTGGAATGGGAACTTCGTCACTAGCCATGGAGAAGAGTGGATGAAATGAAGAGAAAGCAAGAAAAATGTAAAGGGTTAAGCCCTCAGAGAGAGAAAATGAGAGGGGAAAGTGAAAACACAAGACTGAGTCCCCAAAAAACCAAGAAAACCCATGAGAAACAAGGCAAAAACAATGAGAAACCCAAAAACTTGACCAATTCAAAATCCAATCGATTCAAAATGTAGAGGAAATGAAGGGTTTTTGAAGAAAAAATGACGAGATTTGTTGGGAAACGCAAGGAAAAGACGAAATCTAGAGAAAGAGGAAAGCTAGAAAGAGAGAGGAATGATTTTCGAATGAAAAGGTGTGAGGAAATAGGGTTTGGGTTTGTTTTAAACAAATAAATCGCGAGGAAAGGCCGAAACTGCTCCTGCCGCTATCAAGGCCCAGCCAGTTGTTGCAATGCCTGGCCGTGCTTCACTGAGGCCCGGCCGGTTCTCAATGACAACAAAGTTCAGTTTTGTTCTTTCCCTCTCTCTCTTCCTTTTTGTTATTTATTTCTTGTATCATGGAGTTGAAAATAAGAAAGTTCAAAATAGACAAAAAGAAAAAAAAGAAGAAAAAAGAAAAACCAATAATAAAAGAGTTGAATAAGAAAATAAAAATAAAGAAAATATAAAGAGAGTGGAAAAGAAAAGAAAGGTTTTTTGTTCGTTTCCTTGTTGTTATTATTGTGTGAGCGCATTTGTTTTGTTTAAGCTTACTTGTTTAAACTTGTTTGTTCAAAACTTTTAATTTGTTTAAACTATTCCGAGTTGTTTATAATATGCTTTGTTTGAATCATTGTTCATTTTGTTGTTTTGTTATATCGTGAACAAATGATATTGTATGTACGGTTCATTCAGAGAAGTTCCAGTTAAACTCATTCGTGCCATAGTAAAATCATTGTCTGTTTTACAACCAAATTGAAGCTCGGTGTGTTGTGCTCATTATTTCAACACGTGCGTAAATTGGCTTCCACTTTACTGCACTGCTTTGATTGTTTTGATTTTTATGCCTCTCTGTGTAGAATCCACGTTTATTTCTCATTCCTACTTATGCGATTTGTTTATCCACTTTTCCTCCTCTCGCGTGCAACGCGCTAGGATTGTACCTTTGGTTAAAAACATTGGGCGTGTCCCAGTGTTCACACCTCCTTTCCTCCTCTTGCGTGTGACGCGTTAGGATTGTACCCTTGGTTAAACACAGTAGGTGCACCTGTTTGTTTGCACCTCCTTTCCTTCCCTCGCGTATGACGCGTTAGGATTGTACCCTTGGTTAAAAATGGCAGGTGCGCCTTTTTGTTCACACCACCTTTCCTCCTCTCACGTGTGACGCGTTAGGATTGTACCTTTGGTTAAAAAATTGGGTGCGCCCGGTGTTTACACCGCCTTTCCTCCTCTCGTGTGCAATGCGTTAGGATTGTACCCTGATTAAAAATAGTAGGTGTGCCTGTCTGTTCACACCACCGTTCCTCCTCTTGCGTGAGACGCGTTAGGATCTCGGTTGAGACCTCGGGTGCACTCGATGGTTACGTTGCCCTTTCCCCTTTCTATGCGAGGCGTAGTTAGGTTTGTATTTTCTTATATCCTTTCTACGTAAGACGTAGGTTGGTTTGTGCTCTCTTTGTGCTTTTCACGCGAGGCGTGCCCATTTGTTTGCTTCGTTCCATGTGAAACACGACGAGGTTTGTTTTGCTTTGTTTTGTATTTTTATTCAAAAGTTGCATTCTTGTCTAGATTGTAGTGTTGTTTCATTGCTTCATTTACATAAGTTTTATTGCATGATCATAAGTTATTTGCTGCATTTCATGTTGCATTTTTCCCCAAGTTCAATTTTTGCATTTATGTCTTGATTTCCTGCTCAAGCCATGCAGCCTTGTCAAATAGGTCATCTTTGGGCTTTGACATTCACTCATGTCACGTTATGATTTCGAGCTCTGTCAAAGAGGGCAACTATGGACACCCCATTTTTGACCTCCCGCAAGGCTCGAGCGCTTTCTCTGATGCATTTGATGATGAAAGTGGTATTGTGCATGGTTCGAGGTCTCAACCAAGGAGCCTTGTTTAAGCTCCCAAACAACCCCAAACCTTCCATATTCCCACTGATCATACCCAAGAAATTCATTATACACCTTGTGCCACCATATGTTAAGATTGAAATAGGAAACAGGGGAATTCATTGAGGCCGACCGTGCCTCATTGAGGGCCGGCCGTGGCTATTGAGGGTCGGAGCCCGCCAGCTGTCCATTTTTGAAGATATTTATGATATTTCTAGCTCAAATTCAATATAAATGACCATATACTTCTGTTTTGAGCGTTGAACAACTGAGAAAGAGCCTATACACATAGAGAGTTCCTTTTTCCTCCTTCTTCCATTGCAAGCTATCTTTGAGTTAACCTACCTTCCTTGTATCATCTATATACACCATACACAACCTTGTCTCATCATCCTAGAGTCTTGGTTGACCTTTGAAAAGAATAATTCAAGTTTGAGAGTGTGTCAAGAGTGAGTTTGATCATTAACCAAAGCTTACTCAATTTTGAGAGGTATAAGCTTGCAACTCTTGTTCTTGCTTTTGCTTATCTCATTTCTATCTATTTCTTGTATTCTTGTGATGTTTTGCATCCATTTAAAGTATTGGAACTTGGGTTTGGATAAGCTACCAAAGGTGGTAAGGTTAACACCCTTATTTGCACTTATCTTGATAACTCAACCCTTGATTCCTTTACACTCTTTTACTTTTTTTTTTTTTTTTTGAACTGATTTTCAGAGTTGAACTAAGGCCAAAAAACATGGTTTGAAGTCTTGAAATTAGAGGGGTGGACCACCCCCCCCTTGTTTTTGTTTACATAGCTTCATTGTCTTTACCTTTTGTTTAGCTTTTTTGAGTTCTTTTCTTGCATTTTCAGCCACTATTTTGGCTTATTAAAGACTGTTTTAGGGTTGTCCTATTATATTTAATTGATTCAAGTTTTGATTAGTTCTTTGTTGTAGCATTGGTCTTTGTACATAGCTTGTATTGTGTTATTCTTAGCCTTTGTTTGTCTAACTTTCATGTTAATAACCTCATTTTAAGAATCAACTTGCAATTCCTTTCTTTCATTTGAGGGTTATTTCAATCGGTTGACGGTCATTCAACACATGAACTAGAGATCCACGCTTAATGGCTTAATCTCTACGGAGATTCATTGTCAACAGCGTAATCTCTCTTTCATGTTGAGAATTACTTCCCGTTTGATGTTTCTCTCCTTTTAGAGGATTTAATCATCACTTCGGACAAATGGACTAAAGAATGGAAATGACTAACAAAATTGGTTTAAAAGCAACCAATGCATATAAAGAACATGAGTCATATTGATTGGGCTTGGCCGGGTGTTATGCTAAGTTTATCGAGTCAAGAGTGGCTATATGCTAATTCATGGCATTTTGATGATTCTTGAAGCGTCTCCACCTCTCTCTTTGAGTTCACTCTATGATAAGATGGAGTGGTAGTTGTTATTTATTCCATTTATCGATTTTTGTCTAAATTGTACATTGAAATCATCAAGCAATCAATTTGCTCATTGATGGTTTTGGAAACAATTCTAACCTTCTCTCGAGACTTTCCCATGACAGAGAAGTGTGAGAGGGACAAACAGAGTCCAGATCACTCTGTCTGCACT